ATTATGGAGAATCATGTAAGGTGGGAGAGCCGATTGTCAAATTCAGGCCTGAAGTTCTACTCTCCAGTAAATGAATCTCTGCACTGAAGTCCTAGAGTAGCAGAGCAGTCTGAGGTAGTTTAATCACCAGTAGTGTCAACTAAAAACTGGGAGATACGTTTGGGGTGTACGAGAGCTAACTGTGCACTTTCCAATTTTTTTTACACTGCTTGCAATAATCAAGGGTTAAAAAGTCCAGCAAGAGCACTTGGAAATGTATTTATTTCCTATGCTCCTCAGCTCCATCTAGTGGCCATATTGTGGTATTTGCCTGATATTACATTCAACCTAGAACAAAAATGATGTGTTCCTGCAGTTTGGCAGAATGAGCAGCTCTGCGAATTGTTCAGAAATACACCCCTTAACTGCAATGTAACTATCTCCTGGCTTTACAACCGGTATACACATGATTGTCTAAGGTGATTTCTCATGGCAGATATAATAAGTTTATACGCAGCTCAAGTACGGTACCACAAACCTTGGTCCTCTCAACTCAGTCAGTAACGGTCCAGCTTTCTCCACCTGAAACTGGTACACAGGGTTATTTTTGTGGGTTTCTCTGAAGTTGCCGCATCCTCCAGCACTCTGTCCCTTCCACTGGCCGTTCACCTACAAAATGCATTGCTTGTTAAGACTAAGAAAGGAAAAGGTTCTTCTAAAAACATCTGAATTGTAATCTAGAATAGAAGGCTGGAATAAGAAAGAAAGGTCTCACCCGTTTGTTGATTGTGTATGGAGTTGGGATCTTGGAGAATGTAAACTTGCAAGCTGCATAGACCTACAATAAATCAAATATTCTCATTACAGGATCATACTTGTTTATCTCATGGGAGAGAACATTCTTATTCCTATTCAGATCAGCTGAAATGTCCCAATTCTTTCTCACCATCACATCTATACCGATACACCCCATATCTGTACATGGGAAATGTATATCTGGACAAAACAGTGACAGCAGTTTCATTTTGACGTCGTTGTGAGTCAAACAGAAAAATTTTCCCATAGAAGTCTTAGGAGCTCTTCAGCATTACATGGTGCAGTGACTTACCCTGAGTGTGTAATGGATAGTATTCTGCTTCTCATACTGAGACACCACCAGAGTGAAGGTATGGGCCCCTGCGGTAGTCAGGGGGATCTTTGTCAGGTAATGAGGGCTGTTTATCCGGATTCCATCAATGTAGGGGACAGGGTCAGCTGCAAGAAAGACACACAGTTAATGCCTACCAAAAGCAAGCCATTCCCGATGCACAATGTAACTGGCACAGTGTCCTTTTAAATGTGTAGATTTAACTCTTTATAGACAGGCTTGCATTGAGCCACCGAGTAGGGTGACTCCTCACACCTGAAAGCAACTATGTACCAATATTTGATATTATTGGGCCTTTTAAGGTGCCAAACTTCGATAATATCGAAATCTGTATGTAAAAACAGGAGTTTATTTCATATACCAAATAAAATCAGAAGTTATAAACATAATATAAGTAAAGTGTGTTCCAGCAGTAGTATACAATGTACGGCTGTTTTCTGATGTTGTACAGAGCACCTCCCTGGACCTTTACAATGATTTCACAAATGGAAGCTTTGTCACATCACTATATACAGTAGTTCACAGATAGATGATACACTTCAGCAGGAAAGAAGGTAACTTGTAACCTAATAATTGTTTCTAGGATTGATCCCACTGCGGCCCATGTGGTCTGCTCCCACCTGGCTACCTATATCTGTCAAATCTGGTCATCAATGTGATTGGTCAAATCTGTTACAGACTGGGCTGCCCATCCAAGAAACCGAAACCTGGTCTGCAAATATATCGCCAGGTTTTATAGTACATGATTATCATTGTTGTTGCATTATACTGTATACTGTATGTAGCTGTATTTAAAACGGTAGTGACATTCTAAATACACAGTTCTGACGCGTGACATTGCTTTCTGCTTTGGCATAAACAGTAAATGTATTTTTGTGCTGGCTTCCCGTGTAATGGAAACAGCTGAAGAGTCCTATCACAATCTACTTCTAGATGGACATATCTTAAATAATCTGATCATACATCAGCTCACTGCTGACTATGTGATGCAACTTCATAAACTCAACTCTCTCTCTCATTTCTCTCCTGATAGCATTTCATTGCTCCAACAGCAAGGCTACCACCATACAACTGCTAAAACAGTATAAAAATGGGAACTAGAGTGAAAAGAATATTCCTCGACAGTTCTTTAACTTTTAAATGAACATGGATAGCCTTTCTAATGGGTTTTTAACCATTTTAACCATTTAAAAAAAAAAACACGTGAAAGAGATAAGCTTGATCTTATTAGTATGTGTTTCTTAACCTTGTTTCTATGTATAATTTATTATATATGTATTATGAGGGTAAACATATTTTTTTCATTGCATTTGCAGGCTTTGTTTCCTGCCTTGCAGTGCTTCCTGAGGGCCGCACATGCTCAGTGCGTACTCTCTTTCGTTGGCTTAGATGAGCTCAGCGCCTGTGACCAGGGAGAGAGAGCATGTAAGGCCCTTGGGAAAAGGACGAAGTTCTCTCCTGTAGTGTTAGGGGGTGCTCGTCCCTAATGGCTGGTCCATGGATGTAAAAATACAGGACGAAGCCATGAGAACCATTTGCAGTTTTTCTGCCAGGATTCTGTCATTGCGATAACAGCCTACAGTTATATTAGAAAAGGAGAGACATAGGTTTAAAGTCTGATCTGAGCTTTGGGTGATGCTATTCTGTATAGTGACTGCACACATTGGACTCCACCGTACACACATTACATGGAAATGTTTTCCTATGATGATGACGACAAGTACTGACGAGTGCCACTGATTTAGAAATGTTATTCATACATCAAGCTACTATGCAGGAACATGCAGTCCACAGTCCACAAACAAGCCTTCATTTCACAAGAGGGTTTGATTATATACTATGCAGCCAGGAAAAGCAGGACCCAATGAGGACAGACTATCATACACCCACATGCTTACTATATCTGAGGAATTGCTGGAGCTGAAAAACTGACATTTAAAAGAGATCAAAACTTTGTTAGACTTTACAGCTGTTATTTGTCTAGTGAAATATTGACTTGGAAATGTACAGATGCAGAAGGGAAAATCAGGTCATATACACAAAAGCTTACATGCTTTGAATTTTAGTTTAGATATCTCCATGCACACGGAAGGCGCTGACATCATTTACCTCTCCTCAATAGATGAAGGGTTTGAATCCATTATTAAAAGCTGAATGTTGCCAAAATTACAAAGTGTATCCAATTATCATGTTAATCTAGTTTATTTGCATTAGGAGAGCGGCTTCTTTGCAGCCAAGTGTCTCAAACTTTGTCTAATTTCTCTAAAGGGTCAGATCTGTCAGAACTACACTAAAGCTGGCCATACACACTGCTCTTATCTTAGCAGCGTGCAGCCCTGCCGGCATCCCTCCATTTGACAAAAGTTGCATTTTCAATCAATTGTTGTCGAAGGAGCAGGGCTGAAAATTGTCTGCACCCAATACAACTGCAGTTACTGTTGGTGTATTCTGACAGCAGTGGGTGCCAGCTGAGCTGCCAGAATACAGTAGCCTGGCAGGGAAGATTACCCCACCCACAATGTTTAGTATGTCTAGGAGAATCAACTGTTTTTTCTCAATGAGTCCATGGAGAGTATGACCAGTTTGAAGGGTCAGACCTATACAGCTGTGACACGCTGAGTACAAGTAGTGGCCAGGCCACAGACAGGAACAATGCAAAGTTCTTTATCTCTGACTCACCAATGAACCATATACACAAATAAGGTTTTGGTCTGTGTAACAATAATAACAAAGAAAACAGACATTCAGTGAACTCACCTGGGTAGTAAACCTTTTTACCATCGTTCTGGTAAACAACAAGCGTTATAAACTCTCGGTTCTGTGCAAAGTCATCCTACAAGAAATAAAAAAAGGAAAGAATGATACATGTTCATCAACATTGCTTTGTGGTGGATCTGACTGCGTGAGACAGAATCCCAGAACAAAAAGGTCAGCTCTGGAGACGACTTGTGGTACGTATGTTGTAAGTAGAGTGTCAATGGACAAGAGTCAATGGACACTTGCAGCTGGAAATCACATGAGGCTCCGGACACTTGTGGCTGCTCAGCGTGTATAAAGTGACGATAGGCTGACAGGACCCGCAGCTGTCTGACACTCTTCACATTTGCAGGTAACCACTTAATGTCCGCACATTAACTTCTTACCTGTGAGTAAGGACAGATGACCAGCGCTGTCTGCATTTAGGGACGGTCATCTGTCCCAAGCCGCAGGTAACTGGTGGATGCACGAATACATGCGAATAGCAGTGAACAGCTGCGGCTCATGTCAGCCTAAGGAGCACAGCTGCTATTAAAAGTGACTCGGAGCTTACACAGGGCTGTCTTTCTGCTGCACGCTGAACAGAGTGGTGGGAAATTTATCAACGCTGGAGCAGACAGAATCTGGAGCAGCTGTGCATGGCAACAAATCAGCTCTCTCTTTCATTTTCAAAGCTTAACTGAACAAACAGAAGAGAGACGCTGATTGGTTGCCACGGCAACGGCTCCAGATTCTGTCTGCTCCAGTTTTAAATAAATTCCCCCCGGTGTGTTTAGCATGGGAGGGGTAAAAATGTTCACTTTAAATTTAGTACTGTGTATTTAAATACTTTTTGTAAGCCAATTGTAGAGAATCTTTCACTTGAAGTTTTCTAATCTGAAACACTAGTAACAAAGGTCTGTCAGGTCTATGAACGCCTGAAAAGTGCTATGATGATGTACAAATTCCAGTAACCAACAGAAGGCAGAAGTCACCATTAAAGAAGTCTCACTATCATTTTTTTACCCCTTTCCCCCAGGAGACTTTGCTCCGCCTTTATTACTTGTTTCATTGTTGAGATACTGTGGTGAACAGTGGACCCCCTTTACCACACTGATAAGTGACATTAAACCTTCCTTTCTTTTTCTTTGTATATAAGAGAGGCACAGATCGTGTCCACATCTGTTCTTGACCAATGACACTAGGACACAAGTCCTAACAACTAAGCACGTTGTGCGGCACAATCCTATACAAAATATGGCCACATACAGTGGGCCATATATCGTACTTGTTTGCTGGGACACACGCGGCCAGATAGCAAACATGTTTTCATTTCCTGCCCTTTGCTATATTAAGCAGATGTGTGCCATTCCAAGCTTTAACCTCATTAGGGCAAAGCTCGTCTTGTGAGAAGTTAAGATGATTCCTGGCCAGTTCCTAACTTGCAGTAAAGAAAAATATGTACTTAGGAGAAGAAGATTATGTTCTCATCTTGCATCTAACTACCAACAGTCTTCTATCTGTGAACTAGCCATGAGACTACAGTGGAAACCCCTTCAATTGTGCACAGTAGTCATATATATATATATATAGTGCAATATAAATGGGTAAGCCGTATTAGTCCAGTAGACAAGATGTCAAAAAAGACAAAAATGCAGTATTGCAGTGTGCAATGATACCTTTTTTATTGGAGTAACAAAATATATAAAAGACAAGCTTTCGAGAGTGAACCTCTCTTCTTCAGGTCAGAAGCAATACTGAACAACATGACAGTTTGTCAGTTTAGACAGGAGAAAGCTGTTAGAGGAGGGGGGAGGGGG